CAGCCAGCCACGCTGGCCGGGGAATTCTGGGAGTTGAAGTCCACGCATCTTAAAGTTCCCAAGGTTGAGAAACACTGATCTAGTCTCTTCCTTTAACTCCTTAACTTCCCTGTTTGCAGGTGACGGGACTTGTTTTATTATGCAGCAAGATCTTGATCACGTTCTTGAGCTCACTGGCCCCGACTGTGACCCCGTGTACAAGGTATGTTTAAAAAACAACAACACACAGCATGACCTAGCTTGAGCAAAGAAGGGTCACATGGCAGGAAAAAGGGAATCCATGTTCTACCCAGAAACCGAAATAGGGAAAGAAGCCTTTGGATATAAAATCAATAATCAGCACAGAGCGATCCCGGTTTATGTCTTGTTCAACCACGAATCTCCCTGGTTTGGGCCTGTCACTCCTTCTCCCAGCTCATGATTTGGGCAAATCCAGTATCTTGCCTTGCGCTCCTTAGTGGAAGGAGATATCAGTGTCATAAATCCATATCGTGACGAAGCGGTTGTGATCATGCAGTAGACCTTTTATCCTCACCGTCGTTTTCTCATGTAACCCAGTTTTCCAGGTTTGTATCACATGCTGGATCATAAATGAAGCACGTCGGATGGGATTGCACAACACCCCAGAAGGGCTAATGTGGCATTCACATTTGCTATATATTATTTACCTCCCAGATATTTATGCTGAGCAAACCACTTCCCGCACGTATCCATGGATTCTGAACCTTGAAAGAAGTGACTGCCAACCCCAGTTCTGTGGCAGAAAAAACACCCATGAGTGTTCAGGGCTGCCAAAGCTGGACTTAGCCCTTGCCTTTTTTCTACCCTCCCTGGGAAAAGGAAGAAATCCTCATAGAATCATAGAATTCTGGAATTAGAAGGGTCACCTAGTCCAACCCTCTGCAAAGTACAGGGAAACCCGTGAAACCATCCGTGCCAGGGGGCTGCTTAGCCTCTTCTTCAAAACTCCAGAGACAGAGAACCCACAACCTAGGCTGTTCCACTGTTGTACGGATCTTCCACCACTAAGTTCTTCCTTATATTTAAATGAAATCTAGGCAGCTGCAACTTATATTCAGTATTTCTGTCCCTAGTTGGCCAGAAAAACGGCCTTTGTGGGGCCATGAGAAGTAGTTCTTGACCATCTTCCCTGTGGCTTCCCTTTATGTACCTGAACACAACTATTAAGTCTTCTTTTATTGCAGCCTATCCTGAGAGAGACAGTCCTCAAGTCCCTGGGCAGTTTTGAGGACAAATAAAAAAATCTAGAGATATGTTGATTTCCCAGTGCTGGGAGCTGTGTTTTGATCTAATATGGCATAATGCAGACCTGGGCTACAGAGAGAGATTGGCTTCTTCCAGCCCTTTGGGACTGACTCTAAACTGGTCTTCACTTCAATAAGTCTTGAGATATTTCTTATGATTTCTCTAGGTGGCAACGTGGGGAAAAGAAGTATATATATGCTGCAGAGATGGGATAGTGAGGCGATACCAGCTTTCAGATCTCTGATCAGCCTGGAATGTTCGATACCGGACTGCGAATGCTGGATTTAGTTCAGGGATTACTTTAAAAGACCATTTCAGAAGGAGCCAACATGGTGCCAGGTTTCTAGACCTTTATACTGCCGCTTGAACGAAGATAATAGGTATGCCTTTAGGAAGACCCCGCCAAGGGCTGAACTGAGTCTTCCTGCTGAGACAGGCCCAGCACCCTTGAAAACGTTCCCTGTTTTCCTGCCCCGAGTAGCCAGGAAGGTTTGTTGCCATTAAAGACCACCTTGTATTTGGAAAAGCACTCTGGGCTTCACCTGTGTTTTGGTTATTCCTAAGCCAGGGAAAAGGAACTGACCGGTGGGAGGAGAACCAAGGCCAACTGACCTCATGACAGGAACCACAATTCACTTTTGACAGTGTCTCAACTGGAACCTTTAAACGGCAGAAAGAGAGGTGTCTGCAGGGTGTGGTCAAAAAAGTCAAGATGGTGTATAAAGAACAGTCAGAGCCTTGATCACACCATCCAGGCTGCCATCCTGACTTGTTGGACCACTCCCTCTGCCACAGAAACCTTTTGTCCTCATGCCCCGTGGGCAAAATTACCCAGCTGGGTACCCGGATAGCAAACAGTGCTAACTTTCCATCTGAAATAATACCACCCAGATCTCATGCAGTTTCCTTGCATGGATCCCCTTAGAAAAGGCAACACTTCTTTGATTTTAGAAGAAGAGATGCGGGAGGTCAGATCCAAAGCCAACCCTGATGCCAAGGGAAGTCCACAGGCAGGACATTCAGCAGTGACTTTTAGATCGGGATTGAAAGTCCTACAATTTGTGATTCGCAAGATAATTTATTCCTCTCCTGACCCGCTGGCGAAAGGAGAGTGTCCCTATTTATCTGTGCCATTTCCTCAGGGCAGCGGGAACAAGATGTATAACCCAACTTTTTAATTTTTTCAGGGTA